GGGTGCGGCTGCTCTGCCTGGACGGGTCTCAGCCCTTCCTGCTCTCTGGGGACAGCATTTGCTTGGGGCCTGCTACACGCCAGGCACAGGCTCATGTGTAAATGCACATTACCGCATTACATTCTGATATTTTAGTACGTACTTATGTTAACATATAACAAATATATTATTATAGCTATTAATTCAGAGAAGATGTTGGGGACAGAGGAAGAGATTCCAGCCTCAGCTCTGAGGCCCAGCTGGAGAATCACAGGGCAGGCTCTCTTCCTTGCACGGGGACAATGCCATGTGCTCCCTCCAGAAGGAAACGTTTAGTCAGTGAGTCTCCCAAACCCTGCTGGGGAGCCCAGCTGGTTCTTAATAACTTAACCCTCACCCCTTGCTGGGTGATGGATACCGATGATCTCAGTTAATCCTAACCACTACCCTAAAAAGAAAGGACTATATTAGTCACTTATCATCATTGAGGAAACTGAGGCTCAGAGAGGTGGAGTCACTTGCCCAAGGCGGCACAGCCAGGGAGCACCATCCAGACCAGGCCTGCCTGCTTCCAGGTTCCGATCTTTCCCAGGCACCAGCAGCCTCGCCCCGACTTCCTCCCACTGCCTCACACCCAGCGGGGGCTCAATAAATAGTTGTTGAACGAAATTGAAATCCCCAACCCGCCAAGTTGCGACGTGATAAAGGGCTCCTCTTTCTTTGTAGGAGACACCAGACTCTGTGGTAGGGCTCCCGCTCCCCCAGAGCCCCCCGCTGGAACACCACGACTGCTTGGGGAATATTTATGCTAATGATAAAGATATTTTTTATCCTTAAAATAGATTATTTACAATATATCTGGCTAATTGGGCCTATACTGTTATAACGGGTTGAGACCAGATGTATCTGGGTGATTAGAGAAAATTTAGCATGTGCATAGTCTGTTTTGCTGTTTTTAAAAGAATTTCCCCACTCCCGAGTCACCTCCCAGCATCCCCGGTGATTCGGGATAACTGCTGCTCCCACGGCAGAAGCCCCGGGGGATGGAGATGGCGCTCGGCCACCCAGGGACACACAGATCCAGACTTCCAGGGTTGGCCACTTCTGGCCATCGCAAGTGGTCGCTGGAGAGGACTGCGGGGTGGTCCTCCAAAAATGGAAGGGCCCACTCTGCATCTGGAGTCAGACAACCTGCATTCAAAACCGGCTCCCCTCCACATCAGCTGTGTGACCTCGGGGACATGAGTCGATCTCCTTGAGTCTCAGTTTACCCATCTGCAAAATGGGGACTGTGCTAGACCAGCATCCTAGATGCTGCTCAGATGAAACGGAGTAAGAGTTGCCAAGGCCCTGGCACAGCCTGGGGTGTGGGAGATGCTCAATCAATGTGGCTCCTGCTACGATTATTCTGATGTTGGCCCCCCAGCATCTCTGAGGTGCTTCACGGGCCCCATCATGTTGGTCAGAGCTCCACTCAACACCACATTTGATATCCAGGCTGTTTAGGNGCGGTCCCCATGGCACAGATCCCTCACTCGAAGCTCCTCAGTGACTTCACTGGAAGGGAAAATACAAACAAAAAACAAAAGCCTTTAGCTCAGCGTTTCCGGTAATTGACTGCTGCCCTCATATTGAGAATAAAGGCTCCCGGGCCATGGACCGCTGGGCACGGGGCTGGTTCCGCCGGAACTGGCGCACGCGTGGGCCCGGCGGGGCCTGGGCCGGCCACCTGGCCCCACCGTCCTGTCTCCGGGAGGGACGGGGCCTGATTAATAGCTGAGCTGCACTTAATTCCCCACGGACCCATTAACCACCGTCTCCGTTTCATTACACAGATCCAGGACAATTCACCTTGTGTAATCAGCTCACATACAACTTTGCTTTGGACCCACTCCAGGGATATTGTAAAATTAATGTTATGGAACCAACGGGGAAGGGGAGGTTGCGTCACAGGAGCCTCGACCCAG